GCCCAGGGCTGTGCCTGCCAAGGGCTGTAGCCGCGGCGGTTCCTGCACTGCTTTAACACCAGTTTACCCACGTGCTGTTAAAAAGAGGGATGTTATTTGTGATAAGGAAGGGCCACGCCTGAACTGTACCCAAATTAGGACCAAACTGGAGACTTGCCAAGAGCCCGAGGGCCTCTTCTGCTGCTCTGAAAAGAAAAGCGTGGTGCAGAGCACGCAAAGCACGGCTCTGGTCTGAGCACAGCGCTTCCAGGCAGCGCGGGGGGGATTTTGCAGCCCGGATCCTTTGGTGGCACTTGTGGGTGCAGAAGCTGTGTGCTGATAAGTGACAAATCCCTTTGCATCAGCTGGGAGAGCTTTTTCCCAAACCAAACTGCCCGATTGTTCTCTTATCTGTAAAAGCATTCAGAGCTTCTCGAGAGCTGAAGTGAGACGCGATTGGGCGAGCCTCGATAATTGCCTGCCCTCCCAGTTACGAGCAGCAGCAAAGCAAGCTGCTTTTGTAAAGCTGTCGTGTGCCCTCTGTGCCATGCTCAGCTCTGGAAGGTGTTGAGGGTCGGCCCTCAGCAGGCTGTGAAATCAGAGGGCTGCACTCTTGCTTACCGTCTGTCTGAGCTATTAATCTTGACAGCTGTAGCTGCTGGGCTGCTCTGGCACAGCAGAGCCTGTCAGAGATGACAGCAGTGAGCTTCCCCTCTCCTGCACGCGCTCTTCTTGAGGGGTCTCTGTGAAGCTGCAGTTGTTCTTCAGTCCTTGACGGTGTGTTGGAGACCTCAGGGTTTTCCTCTGCTCCCGGCCAGCAGCAGCCACGAAAGACCCAATGTAAACAGATCGTGGGGTCGTGCTGATAATGCTGCTCGTGTTCAGCTGCCTCTGGGGCTCTTTACTCTGCGTGCAGACTCGGTGCTGACTAAAGGTGCTGGGTTAACAACCTTGAAGTCTTCTTCACGCTCAGATCAGATGTATACAAACAGCAGAGCTGAGCCAGCCAGCCTCCTTTCTCTCCTCTGCCAGTGCTTCTATCTGCTTACCCAACACAACGCGTATTTGTTATTGCCTGTCAGCTGCCTGGTTGGAAATCTGCTCTGTTCCATGCCTCTCTATGGTGTCACGTGCCATTCTGTCCTTGGTTTGATGGAGGCAGAGCTTGGGACCCTGCTTGTCCAGGGCCTGGGCAGTGCGTGGATCGATGTGCATTTTGTCTTGAGGAGCAAAGCCCCTTTTGATGCGTTGTTCCTGTTCTCAGGTTTCTCTATAGTGAGCTGATGAAGTACGACCCCTGTAAACCTTCTCCAGAAGAGAGCATTTTTGAGCCAGCGGGAGGGAGGAGACTCAAAATAAAAAGCAACATCACCTTCCACCTCTACATCAGGTTGGTGTGGGCTGATGCAGGGGGTGAGCAGTGCAGCACCTCCAGCCCTGGCAGCTCTCCGTGACCCGGCTGTAACCTGAGGAGCATTTCACTTCTAGCACAGCACCTTGTGGAGATGGAGCTCTCTTTGATAAGTCCTGCAGCGACCAGGCGAGCGTGGAGGGGCGGGCAGAGCATCAACCCCTCTTTGAGAACCCCAAGCAAGGCAAGCTGCGGACCAAGGTGGAGAACGGTGAGTGCAGTTTGCTCCCTGTGTGCTGGGTAGCTGCAGTCCTCCGTTCTGAGCCATCCTGGAGCTCCAGGCTTCCTTCCCTCGCTCTCTGTGGTGCCGTGGTGGGATTTGAAGCAAGAAACAAAGGGAATGAGTGTCTGAGTCCTGACAGGAGAGCTTTCCTTGCTCACACAGGGGAAGGCACCATTCCTGTGGAGTCGAGTGACATTGTGCCGACGTGGGATGGGATCCAGCATGGGGAGAGGTTGCGCACCATGTCCTGCAGTGACAAAATCTTACGTTGGAACGTGCTGGGCTTGCAAGGAGCACTGCTGTCACACTTCATCGAGCCGGTGTACCTCAGCTCTGTTACTCTTGGTACGAGTCTCATCGTCCCTTTCTGGGTTGGGACGGCTGTGGAGCGAGCTGCAGCGCCGAGTAACCCCCCCCCCAAGTGTGGAGACTACAGGAGTAAGAGTCTGAAACGTCAGTCTTGGCAGAGCTGCTCCGTTTTGGAGTTTGCGGGTTGTAGGTAGTGGGTGGTGTGAGGTTTTCCTCCAGGATTCTTGATTTGAGAAGGTGCTTGTGAGGGTGAGACAAAGCTTGCGTCGCTAAGGGCGCATACAAACCATAAGCTTCCACCTAGGGGTGTGCAGCAGTGAACTCGCTGCTGCTGATCCCCGTGGCTGCCAGCTTTTAATGCTGTCATTCTCAGGGCTCGTCTGTTACTTGCGTTGTTCTCTGATGCCTTCATTTGTGCCTTCATAGGTTACCTGTACAGCCAGGGCCACCTGACAAGAGCGATCTGCTGCCGCGTGGTGAGGGATGGGGATGTGCTGCAGAAGAGGCTCCAGGCTCCGTATTGCATCAACCACCCGAAGGTCTGTGCTCCTCTCTGTTTCCATCTTCTCTTCCACCTCAGCCCTTCATTCTCACTGAGGTCCCTATAGGGGTGTCAGCTGGTAGAGCAGTGCGTCCCATCTCCCTGTGTCCGTGGCTTCCTGGGGAGATGCAGACCGAGGTTACTCTCCTAGCCTTCATTTTAGCAGCAAATAGTGGCTTCTTCACCTCAGGAATTCGGCTGAGCTGAGTGCAAGGGTTGGAAACTCCTCAGATTTCACTTCTCTCAGGTGAGATCAGACCCAGAAAGGAGCACCAGTGGAGGACCTTCAGCGTGGGGTAGCTGAGGTTTTAACACGCAGAGCACTGAGCATCAGGGATGGAAAGCAAAGGCCGTAGCTGAGTGCAGGGCTGGTGGCTGCTGTGTGCCCAGGTCACCCTCTTACCCCCATCTCATGGTGTTGGGAACCCCCCCTTCCCTCTGTGGCTGCAGGTTGGACGAGTCAGCGTGTACGACTCCGCCAGGCAGACGGGCAAGACAAAGGAGTCTTCAGTGAACTGGTGCCTTGCTGATGAAAGCAGAGTGGAAGTGTTGGATGGCACAAAAGGGAAAGTAGACGGGTAAGGAGAGCTTTTCCTGATGCTGCTTTTCTGGCCGGGGAGATGGGGTCAGTCGTATTCTTACAGCAAGCATTGCAGTATCTGCTGTGGGGAGGGGGATTTCAAGCTGACTCGATGCAGAGCTCTTGAAGCAGAACAGATTGTGCCCAGGCTCTGCAGCAGAGCCCTGGGGGATCTCATGGGCCTCTGCCACAGGGTTGTCCCGAGTCCCGTGCTCCTGTCGGCTTCTCTGTGTCATGTCTTTCACCGTTGCCTTTTTCTTCCTTCTCAGCCCGAAGCTGGAGGTGTCTCGTGTGTCCAAGAGGAAAACCTTTGCCCTGTTCCGCCAGTTATGTGCCAAGACTGATTGCAAAGAGCTGCAGAAGCTCTCGGTGTACTCAGAAGCAAAGGAAGCAGCCGTGCAGTACCAGCAAGCCAAGCAGTGCTTCTTCAGTGCGCTGGAGGAGATGGGCTACGGCAGCTGGATCTGCAAACCACAGGAGGAGGACAACTTCTCCATCTCTGATGCATAACCAGCTGCCCTGGGTGGGTGTGTGCAGGGTGTATGGGTCCATCTTTCCCCACTTTCCTCTTGAGACGCAACCAGTAGTTGCAGCAGTTTCCTCTGTAGGCCTTGGCTGCCTTCTCTCTCTGCTCCTGTTCCTCCCAGTCCTCTTTTAAACCACGCATGAGAATCGTTGTCTCTTTTTAATTTTAAGCTAGGGCAGCCTGAGTTTCTTTGCTTTCGTGTTCTCATCTCTGTTTGTTTTTTGGTTTTTTTCTAAAAAAAAAAAAAAGAAGGCACAAGAAACCAGAAGGGACCGCAGCCCTGAGACGTTTGGACCATGTGCTGCAGCTCCCTCTGGCAGATTTCGGGGCAGGTTCTCTCTTTGGAGAAAGCTGGCAGGCTGTTTTATGTCTTGTGTTCTCCCTGCTGTTTGGTGGCTGGCAGCTTGGCTGGGCTGGGACGCAGACTGAGCTCTGCACAGCTGCCAGCAGTGCATTCCGTGTTAATAAATTTTAGGTATTGTTACCTGGCTCTGCTCCATGGCTGTGTGAAGTGCTCAGGACTGAAAGGAACCCTGGATGTGGAGCCGAGGGCTCACGAACAACAGAAATGAGTTGTCGTTTGCTAAGCACTGAGCTGTGGTAATGGTGGATGAAGCTTCTTGCCTTAACCAGGGGTTTTGGGAGCAGAATTTGAGCCCTGGGCAGAGTTCTCCCACCTCCTCCTTGTCTCTGGGACAGGGCTGCTCCTCTCTGGGCTGGGGAATTCACGTTGCTTTCCTGCTGGGAGGCTGCAGGTGAGGCCGTGTGCTCCTCTTACGTCTGAGCTCAACCACACGTCAAGCAAAAGCGCTCTTGTGGAAGGTGAGAAATGCCCAGGAGGGCTCAGGGCTGCAGGGCAGCGCTCAGCCTCCTTCCTCCTCACTGAACAGGGTGACAGTGAACAACTCCAGCATCCGCGTGTGGGATGGGAAGCAGCAGAAAAGCAAGGAAGGGCAGCCTGGCTGCTTCCCTGTCCTGCTGCCGGCTGCTGGGGGTGCTCTGTTGGGATGCTCAGGGCTCCCTGGGTTCCCCCTGGGACTCGTGGGTCCCTGTTAACTGGGGCCAGAGCAGGACTTGGGCTGCACCCAGAACTGGGAAGCAGCGTTGGGACACACGGACCAGGCAGGGTGCTGCTGTCAGGGTGAAGCTCTCAGGATTTCGGTGCTGGGAGCATCTGAGAGGAGGTGGTTGAGGAACAGCAAGCCACAGCAACCCAGAGTTTCCTCTGCTGTGCAAAACGAATCGTGGCATCATCGATCCCTATCTGGATAAATGGGTCTTAAATCATTTCTGGCGTGTGCCATCCCCTCGTGCCACGCACCGCTGCCCACCAGCTGCTCCGTGCTCCGTGGCTGAGCCCTGTTTGTAGAGAAGCACATGAAAAACGCGCTCCTTCGCCTGCCCTCAATGACACTACGACAAAGCATCCACTCCGGTGTCAGTGTTTATTGGTTTGCAGTGTGGGCTGAGAGCACAAAGCTCACCGTCCCCTGTGCTCATTCCGTCCCCCCACCCCCCGTCCCTCCCCAGCACTATTTGGAGGTGGGGGTGCCCTGGCCAAGCTGCAGCAGGGAGTTGGTGGTGTAGTTCTGGAAGAGGGGCTGCAGGAACATCCCGACGGTGCCGAAGATGCAGACGAAAACGAAGATCCATAAGAAGAGGCGGTCGATGACCATGGCCACGTACTTCCAGTCCTCACTCACCTGCGTGGGGCCAGGATTGCTTTGGTCAGCTCGGGGCTCAGCTCCCAGCCCTTTATTCTGCGGTGCCCCAGATCTGCACCCTCAGCATTGCGGCTCCCTGGGCTCATCCCTGCCCTGGCAGCTCCTCTGCTGAGTCCAGAAAACTCATCTCGCCGCTCAGCCGCTCTGGGGTTGTGTCCCCATCCCAGACTGCCTGAAATCTGCAGCCTCACGGTGCTGCGGCAGCGGCTGCGTGGGTCAGCCCTCCTGGGAGCAGCCGTGTGGTTGCTGGGGGAAGGGGCCAAATATGGGGCACTGGGGGCTCCTGGGGACGTGGCCGAGCAGGGACCCCGTGGTGTGGGTGTGTGCGTGCACCCCACAGCCCTGTCTGTGCACCTCGCATCGCTGCACGCGCCCCACGGCCCTGCACGCCTCCCACAGCTCTCCATGCACATCACGGCCCTTTGCACATCCCGCAGCGGTGTGCATCCCACAGCCCCGCCTGCACCCCATCCCCTACAGCCCTGCCTGCACCCCATAATGCTTCCTGCACTCCATAATCCCCCCTGCACCCCATAACGCTGCCTGCACCCCATGCCCCATGGCCCCTCCTGCACCCCGTAACACTTTCTGCTAGCCATGCCTCATAGCCCCTCCTGCACCCCTTAACACTACCTGCACCCCATACCCATAGCCCTACCTGCACCCCATGCCCTATAGCTCCCCCTGCACCCCATAACGCTGCCTGCACCCCATGCCCCATGGCCCCTCCTGCACCCCGTAACACTTTCTGCTAGCCATGCCTCATAGCCCCTCCTGCACCCCATAACACTACCTGCACCCCATACCCATAGCCCTGTCTGCACCCCATGCCCTATAGCTCCCCCTGCACCCCATAACACTGCCTGCACCCCATATCCATAGCCCTGTCTGCACCCCATAACACTACCTGCACCCCATACCCACAGCCCCACCTGCACCCCATTTCCATAGCCCCCCCTGCACCCCATAACACTGCCTGCACCCCATTTCCATAGCCCCCCCTGCACCCCATAACACTGCCTGCACCCCATACCCACAGCCCCACCTGCACCCCATTTCCATAGCCCCCCCTGTACCCTATAACACTGCCTGCACCCCATTTCCATAGCCCCCCCTGCACCCCATAACACTGCCTGCACCCCATACCCACAGCCCCACCTGCACCCCATTTCCATAGCCCCCCCTGCACCCCATAACACTACCTGCACCCCATACCCACAGCCCCACCTGCACCCCATTTCCATAGCCCCCCCTGCACCCCATAACACTGCCTGCACCCCATTTCCATAGCCCCCCCTGCACCCCATAACACTGCCTGCACCCCATCCCTCTCAGCCCTGCCTGCACCCCATAAAGCTTCCTGCACCCCACAGCCCCTCCTGCACCCAGCAGCCCTGCCTGCACCCTCCAGCTCTACGCAGACCCCACCAACACCCCACAGCGGCCCCCTGTGGCTCTGCCCGCACCCCTACCCTCCTCCCCGCCCACCCATCCCCCCCTTACCCCACCCCGACTCACACTCTGGTCGTCGTCCTCGCTGCGCATGTGGTCCGCAATGAAACGCACGCCCTCCACCGCCTCCTCCAGCCCGCAGCCGCACGGTGCCGGGGGATCCGGCCCCTGCCCCTGCCGCTCCCGGTAGCCATTGAGCCCCTCGGCTTTGGCAGCCCCAGGGTTGGCGTAACAGGCACAGGTACGAGCGCCGGCCCGGAGGAAAAGCGTGGCGGCTGCGGCTCGCTCCTGGGTTTGGCGACGCTGGCGCAGGCGCTGCCGTGCGCAGTTCTGCTGCGGCTGCTTCATGAAAAGCAGCGCCGGGAGCTTGCGGAGGAAAAGGGTGCGCACCCAGGGAGGCATGGTGTGAGTGGTGGGAGAGCGGTGGTGCACGTTGAGCACGCAGACGCTGGTGACGATGGAGAAGGTCACCAGCACCATGGTGAACATGAGGTACTTGCCCACCAACGGCACGTCCAGCGAGGTGGGCGGCACGATCTTGGAGATGAGCAGCAGGAAGACGGTGAGGGCGAGCAGGACGGAGATGCAGAGCGTCATCTTCTCGCCGCAGTCGGAGGGGAGGTAGAAGACGAGGATGGCCAGGGAGGTGATGAGGATGCAGGGGATGATGAGGTTGATGGTGTAGAAGAGCGGCTTGCGCCGGATGATGAAGTCGTAGGTGATGTCCACGTAGGTGGAGTCATCCGGGTTCTCGTTGCGCCGTCCCGGCAGCGCCACGATGTCCCACTCGCCGCTGGGTGTGAAATCATCCAGGCTGGCCACCTCGCTCTTCAGCACCAGGTCGATTTCGGTGCGGTCGTAGGTCCAGGAGCGGAATTTCATGGTGCAGTTCTGTTGGTCGAAGGGGAAATGCTTCACCTCGATCTTGCAGGCGCTCTTGTAGATGGCGGGCGGCAGCCAGAAGATGCTGCCGTCGTAGGAGATGACGGCGTTGGAGTAGAAGGAGACCTCGTACATCCCGTCGGCGCTGGGTGATGGGACGCGCTGTCAGCCCTGGGGTCTGAGTGGGGTCAGGGTGTTGTACCCCCCCCCCCCGAACACCCCAAAAAGCACCTACTTGTTGTAGAGCACCACGTCAGGCAGCCAGATGTGCTTGGAGGGCAGGCGGACCTTCTTCATGTTGTCAAAGTCCTCCGGCTTCCAGGTGAGGCGATAGTCCTCCCATTCCTGCCAGCATCTGTGCTCAGCACGGCCCCACCGCAGGGAGAAGGGGGGGCATGGGGCAAAGGGGTCCCAGCCCAGGAGGTATGGGGGTCCCGGAGCAGTGGGATCACAGGGCAGTGGGCAACAGCGTCCCAAATCATGGGCTATAGGGGATCCAAATCAGGGGGTCGATGAGACCCACGACTGTTGATGTCACGGGGAAAGGGACGTGAGGATCCCAATTAGGGGGTAACAGAGTCCCAGGGTAGGGATTCCAGGCCGTGGGGCAAAGGGGAACCAAACTGAGTGGTGGTCCTGGGGGCAGGGCAGGGGGGCACAAGGCAAGAGGTCCCATAGCGGGTGATCTGGGGGTCCCACAGCAAGGTGCAGGAGGCCCCCGGGGTGGAAGAACTGGGGTCCCTCGTGTGGGGCTCACCTGGGTCAGCCATACGTTGGTGGTCATGATCTGCTCCCGCTCGTGCTGCAGAGAGAAGGGGCAAATACGGGGTGCTGGGGGGGTGGTTATGGGGTGCTGGGGGTGGTTATGGGATCCTGGGAGGGAGAGGGGATATGGGATGCTGGGAGTGGGGGGTTATCGAGTCCTGGGGATGGTTATGGAGTCCTGGGGGGGGAAGTATGAGGTCCTGGGAGTGGTTATGGGATCCTGGGGGGTGTTATGGGGTGCTGGGGTGGTTATGGGGTCCTGGGGGCGGTTATGAGGTCTTGGGGGGGGGAGTATATGGGATCCCGGGAGTGAGTGGTTATGGGGTCCTGGGGGGTGTTATGGGGTCCTGGGAGGGAAATATGGGATCCCGGGAATGGTTATGGGGTGCTGGGGTGGTTATGGGGTGCTGGGGGCAGTTATCGGGTCCTGGGGGTGGTTATGAGGTCTTGGGGGGGGGAGTATATGGGATCCCGGGAGTGAGTGGTTATGGGGTCCTGGGAGTGGTTATGGGGTGCTGGCGGGGGGGTGAGTATGGGGTGCTGAGGAGTGGTTATGTGGTGCTGGGGTGGTTATGGGGTGCTGGGGGTGGTTATGGGGTCCTGGGGGGGGTGAGTATATAGGATCCCGGGAGTGAGTGGTTATGGGGTGCTGGGGGGTGTTATGGGGTCCTGGGGGTGGTTATGGGGTCCTGGGAGGGAAATATGGGATCCCGGGAATGGTTATGGGGTCCTGGGGTGTGTTATGGGGTGCTGGGGTGTTATGGGGTGCTGGGGTGTTTATGGGGTCCTGCGGGTGGTTATGGGGTCCTGGGAGGGAAATATGGGATCCCGGGAATGGTTATGGGGTCCTGGGGTGTTATGGGGTGCTGGGGTGTTATGGGGTGCTTGGGTGTTTATGGGGTCCTGCGGGTGGTTATGGGGTCCTGGGAGGGAAATATGGGATCCCGGGAATGGTTATGGGGTCCTGGGGTGTTATGGGGTGCTGGGGTGTTATGGGGTGCTGGGGTGTTTATGGGGTCCTGCGGGTGGTTATGGGGTCCTGGGAGGGAAATATGGGATCCCGGGAATGGTTATGGGATCCTGGGGGGTGTTATGGGGTGCTGGGGTGGTTATGGGGTGCTGGGGTGGTTATGGGGTCCTGGGGGTGGTTATGAGGTCCTGGAGGGGGGAGTATATGGGATCCCAGGAGTGAGTGGTTATGGGATCCTGGGGTCTGTTATGGGGTGCTGGGGTGGTGATGGGGTCCTGGGGTTGGTTTTGGGGTGCCCGCTCCATGCTGGGGCCCGGCACTCACTCACCACGCTGATGAGCTGTGCCAGCGACACCATGAGCTGCACGGTGACGAGCTGCGAGCCGTTGGTGGCCGGGCGGATGAGTTTGTTGTAGCGTGCGGGGTCCAGGAGGTATTCCACCAAACGCTCCTCCGTGTCCGTGCACAGACTGCCTGCGGGGAGGGGGCTGAGCCGGGGGGCTGCGGGGGGCCGGGGGGGGGGGCGTGGGGGGTGGGTGTGTAATGGGGTGTGGGAATGTAATGGGGTGATGGGGTGGGTGTGAGTGTGTAATGGGGTGATGGGGTGATGGGGTGATGGGATGTGAGGGTGTGATGGGGTGGGTGTGAGTGTGTAATGGGGTGACAGAGCGATGGGATGAGTGTGTAATGGGGAGGTAGGGGGTGAGTGTGATGGGGTGGGTGTGAGTGTGTAATGGGGTGATGGGGTGTGAGGGTGTGATGGGGTGGGCGTGAGTGTGTAACGGGGTGACAGAGCGATGGGATGAGCGTGTAATGGGGAGGTAGGGGGTGAGTGTGATGGGGTGGGTGTGAGTGTGTAATGGGGTGATGGGGTGATGGGATGTGAGGGTGTGATGGGGTGGGTGTGAGTGTGTAATGGGGTGATGGGGTGATGGGGTGATGGGATGTGAGGGTGTGATGGGGTGGGTGCGAGTGTGTAATGGGGTGATGGGGTGATGGGGTGATGGGATGTGAGGGTGTGATGGGGTGGGTGCGAGTGTGTAATGGGGTGATGGGGTGATGGGGTGATGGGATGTGAGGGTGTGATGGGGTGGGTGTGAGTGTGTAATGGGGTGATGGGGTGATGGGGTGTGAGGGTGTGATGGGGTGGGCGTGAGTGTGTAACGGGGTGACGGAGCGATGGGATGAGCGTCCAACGGGCTGTGAGTGTGCTGGGGTGCCGTGGGGTGAACGTGGGTTTGTAACGGGGTGATGGATTGATGGGATGGGTGAGTGTGTAACGGGATGCGAGTGTAAAGGAGCGACGAGGTGAGTGTGCATGCGCTGGGATGACGGTGAATGGGAGCGATGGGGCGACTGCGATGCTGCGAGTGCCCAGGGCTGTGCAACTCCAGCACTGCAGGTGTGACCGCTGTGGGACGATGCGGGTGTGCAGTGTGACGGTGCAGCCGTGCACCGGCTGTGAGCGTGCGGCTCTGATGCCGTGAGCGTGCGGGGCTGTCGGGGTGCGGCTGTTCCCGCGTCGGTGCCGCTCCTTCCGATGGACCGTGGATGGGGTGGATTCCCGTTGGGTTCCCGGTGCCCCGGGGGGGTCCGCACAGCTCCGGGGAGGGAAAGGGGGGGGGGGGGCAGAGAGCGTCCCAGAGCCGCACCCCCACCGTCCCGGCCCCTCCGGACCCCCGCTCCCGCCCCTCAATGGGCATTGCGGGGCGGTAACGGGCCTTCCCCGCCCCTCCCCCCGACATCGCCTTCCACCGGGAGCAGCCCCGGGCCCGCCGCAGCCCCTTCCCATCGGTCCTTCCACCCCCACCCCCCCCACCGGTGCCGGTGCTTACGTCGGAGCGCGGCGAGGAGGCAGAGGACGCGAAGCAGCGCCATGGGGGCGGCCCGCTGCCTCCGCCGGTGCCGGTCCCGGTGCCGCTGCCCCGGCGCTGTCCCCGGTGCTGCCCGCGCTCTCCGCGGTGCTGGAGCCGGCGGCGGCGGCGGCGGCGGCGGCGGCCCGGGCGGGGCGGCCCCGGGCGGGAGGCGGTGCCGTGCGCTCTGCCGGGGCCGCCCCGCGCCGCTCCGCTCCGCCGCCGTCAGCGCCGCCGTCAGTGGGGCCGCAGCCGCCCCGCCCCCTCCCCGCCGCTACCGGGAGCACCGGGATGGGGAGCTGGGGGGGCACCGGGAACCGGGTAGAGGGAGGGAACGGGGCAGATCCCGGTGTTCCACGCAGCAGCCCCCGCTCTGTGCTGACTCGGTACCGGTTGGATCCGGGGGAGAACGTGGACCCGCTCCGCTCCGCTCAGACCCGGACCCTCGGGAGAGCCCCGCCCGAACCGGGGGCACCGACCTTCGGAACCCCCAAACCGGGACGCCTCAGGCCCCGCCCCTCATCTGGCCCCGCCCCCTAAGCCATAGGCCCCGCCTCTAGGCTCTATTGGACCCTCCCCCTCCGAGCGCACCGAGCCCCGCCCCCTCTTCGCCCCTCCCTCCGCTCCACGCCGCCGCTATTCGTCACTTCCGGCACTCGATACAGCCCCGCTTCTCACGCCGGCGCTTCCGGCGATTGTCCCCGCCCCTTCCGTTCGCGGCGGGAGGGGTCACTTCCGGCGCGCGGGGCCATCCCGCCGCCATCTTGGGCCGGCTCCGGGGTCTGCGGCGGGGCCCGGGGCCGTCGGGGCGGAGCGGGTCCCTCCATGGGAAGATGCAGCGGGCGGGGGCGGAGGAGGCGGCGGGGTCGCAGGCGGCGGCGGGGGGAGCCGGGCGGAGCGGGGCTGGGCTGGCGGCGGCGGCCCCGGCCGGGCGGCTCCTGAAACGGGAGCTCCGGCTGCTCGAGTCCATCTTTCACCGCGGCCACGAGCGGTTCCGTATCGGCAGCGCCTGCCCGGACGAGATCAGCTGCGAGTTCGTGCCGGGGGCGGGCGCCAGGGCCGGGGGTTCCGCTTCCCGGGGGCCGCCGCCGGGTCCCGTCCGCATCCACTGCAACATCACGGTGAGGGCCGGGCGGGCGGTTAACAGGGCCGGGGCGGGCCGCGTGCCGGGGCTGCGGCGGTACCGGGCGGCGTTCGGTCGTTGGGCGGCGGCCTGGGAGAGCCGCGGGACTCGGGAGGGTTCTGCAGCACCGAGGCCGGCTTTGGCCACGCGGGGGTGGGGCGTTTGCGGGATCCCCCGGCCGGGTTGGGCTCTGGGTTCGTTCACCGTCACCCACGGAGCTTCCCGAGGGTTGTGGCTCCAACACGGGGAGCCCGGGGCTCTCTGGAGCAGCACCGTGTTAATGGCAGTGTGAGTGGGAGCCTTTCCTACGACACTTCCAGCCCAGCTTGAGAAGCACCACCAGGCCTTATCAGCACCCGCGTGAGCCCCAATCTCAGCCCCCACCAAATGCTCCTCAGTGCTGAGATCGCCTTGAGCTCCCCCTGAGCTGTCAGAGCGGTGCAATGGGATCAGGGGTTTTACAATGCTCAGCCCCTTTTCCTTCCTCCCAGGAGTCTTATCCAGCTGTTCCCCCCATCTGGTCCGTGGAGTCGGATGATCCCAACCTGGCAGCTATCCTGGAGAGGCTGGTGGAAGTCAGGAAAGGAAATACGCTGGTGAGAGGTGCTGGTGGGGAGGGATGGGGGGGCGGCTGCTTTATGGTATCAGCATAGAACCTCCTGAGGTGGGCTCTGCTCCCACGGAGGGTTTAGGAATCGCAGCATCGGCAGCTCTGACTCCTGTCAGCATGCCTTCCCATGCATTTTCACTTGGGATTTTATCCTGCTGAGCTTGGAGGGCAGAAAGGAGCATCTGTGGGGTCTTTGCTCGCTGGGGAAGTGGGGAGTGCTGTGGATGGTTGAGGCTCAGCTCCCTGTGCTGCTGGGTTTCTCTGACACCCCTCTGCTCTCTGTGCAGCTTCTGCAGCACCTGAAGCGAATAATTTCAGACCTGTGCAAACTCTACAACCTCCCCCAGCATCCTGATGTGGAAATGTTGGACCAACCTCTGCCGGCAGAACAGGTGAGGAACTCAGGGTGAGGATTTTTAGGCTCATTTTGGGAGCTGCCTTGTTTTAGAGGGTGAGGTTTCCTAACCCTGAAGGAGGGCTGCAGCAGGTGAGGGTCTGTCTCTTCTCCCTTGGTGCTTGGGTGGGCCCAGCTTTATCTCTGCAGTTTGATGCCTGGCAGTGTTTGAGATGTTTCTTACCTGATTTCTTCTAACTCACCTTGCTTCCCTCACCTTGCGCCTCTGGAGCTGCTCAGGTTTATATCCTATTAAAGCTTCTTGGCTTTGTTCTGCCTTTACGTTGCTTCTGTGTGTAAACCTCACCTCAGAAGTGTCTCAGAAAGCAGGGGAGCGTCGCCAGAGGAAGCTCACAGTGTGATTTTTGTCCTCACAGAGCACGCAGGAAGAGGTGTCCTCTGAAGAGGAAGATGAAGAGATGCCAGAGGTGAGTGCTGTGTACCAGGCAGCTGTGAGATGTCTGTGAGAGGTGCTGAGGCCCAGAGGTCGTGTTTGGGTGAAGCTGGAGGAGGCCAGGCAGGACAAGAGACCCATTGGAGCCGGTTTAAAATTCGTTTGATTTCAGCATTTTCCTGCCTTGCACCCAAATCCCGGTCACCAAGCAGGAATGGTGGGTTGGCAAAACACAAAGGACTGCAGCAGCGACCTCTGAGGGCAGGGAAACGAGCTGAGGTCAGAGCCCCCTCAGATGGGTTCTCACTTTGTGCTGCCACGCTTTGCAAGTCTGAAATTTCCTCACAAGTAATTTGATTTGTGGGATGCGCGCGTGGGGCCGGGGCGCAGGGGAGCCACGGGGTGGAAATGGGACTCGTGCAGAGAAGATGAGGTGGGATGGCTCGGCGTGTGAGGGAGATAATTGGCAGCAGAGGCAGAAGCAGCCACGCTTCGCTGAAGGCTGAGAATATCACGCTGAAAAACCCACAGGCTCCGGTTGTTTGGTTTGCGGTTTAAGAGATCTCTAGAAGTGGGTGGAATAATCTTGAAATCTCCATGGTGACGTCGGGCGATGCTCTTCTCCTCGGGTGCCTGAGGTCTGTGCACCTCGGAGCGCTGCAGAACCAGAGGGCAGCTCACTTGGCAGCAGCCGAGCACTCGTTGGGCTTTTAGCCAAGTGAATATCTTGCTAAACCGAGGGCCTTTACAAAGGTCCCTTGAGAAAAGGTGGGGGGGGGGTTTAAACTACTACCACGCGTAACTGGTCTGCAAGCTTTGCTGCTTCTGGGCAGATCTGCAGCTTGTAAATCCTTGTGCTCCTGTGAGCTGGGGGAAAAAGCCTCAGGAAGTGAGCTAGCAAGAAGCGTTGCCCCCTCGTGCTCTCTGCGAACGCCTTGCCTTGTGCAGCAGGCTGCGCTGTCGTGGGGAGCAAACGTTTCAGGAGAGCAGAGCAGCAGAGCAGCAGAGCTGCGCCCTGTTGCGGAGATGCATTACACACAGGTTAATCCACTCGAGGGATTTTCTGGGAGGATCTATTTTCCCTTTGCGACGGTCTAAAAATGTCAAAGCCCTTCCCAAAGCGCTGTTCTTCCAGAATAGCAGCAGCTAGGCCGGAGAGGCCGAAGCGACCGCTTGCTCAAGAGGATTTAAAACCAATACTGGAGCTCTGCGTATCCACGGCCGTTTGCAGGCAGCCCAACTCAGCGCCCCGATGCTGTGGCAGTGGCTGCTGTGCTGCAGAAGCGATGGCTGCAGCCGTCCCTGATTGCTGCAGCTGTTTTCTGCTGATGTAACGTTGCAAGCGTCGGCCCAACGGATGCTGCTGTGGAAGGGGATGAGGGGCAGAGCCTCTGCCCTCGCTGGGGAGAGCAGTGGGAGCAGAGCGAGAGCTGAGCTGATGTAGGAGAGCCTCCAGACACGCTGTGAAACGCGACCTCTCTTGGAGAGGAAAACGTCCTGTGGGTTTTTTGTCAGTCTGTTCTTGTGCTCCTGGTGAGCCGTGTTTGTTCTGGGCATCCTCGGAGCGGGGATAATCCTGCCCACGCTTTGTTCCAGCCTCCAGAAACATGGCATGGGGCTGCTTGGAGCCGATGCGAGGCTCCCTTCGGCTCATTGGGGAGCATCTGTAAGATTAATGGCTAATTATAACCAGGCGTGAGACTTGGCAACAGAAGGATTGAGGGAACAAAGAGCTTGTGTGAGCCCAATTTAAATCTGGAAAGGGAAGTGTGCCTGTCTGCCTGCTGGCTTTGGCACAGGACGGAGCCTGGTGCCTGAAGCTTCCTCACTGAGCGTGTCCAGGCCTCGTGCTGAAGTCTCCTCTTCCACAAAGTGCTTGGCATCCCTCAGCCCAAAGGATTCCGACCACACGTCTCTGCACTTGGAGCAGGGAGCGGTGAGGTGGGTCTGGTGCCATCTCTCCTCTGCCCTTCGCAGGACACCGAGGACTTGGACCACTATGAGATGAAAGAGGAAGAGCCGGCAGATGGAAGGAAAACGGAGGACGAAGGCATCGGGAAGGAAAATCTGGCCATTTTAGAGAAAATAAAAAAGAACCAGAGGCAAGATTACTTAAATGTACGTGCCTCCCAGGGGGCGGGAGGGTTGGGGAAGCAGAGGGGCCTGAGGCAGAGGGGCCAGCTCTGGCCACGGGGCCAGCGTGGCTCTTGGGGATGGCGGAGGGTAATGCAGAGGAGCTGGAGGAGTGCTGCCAGGCTGCAGGAAGCCTTTCTGCAGCAGGGTGTGGGGATGCCCTGTGCCCCCAGGAGCTGGGCCTCACCTCTGGCCGTGGCGAAGGATGCTGGGTTGTGTTTTACGCTCCTGCTGCAGCCGCACTGGGTGAGCGAGGCGCTTGTTTGAGGGGAGGGAAGTTGATGCAGAGAGGAAAGGGGAAAGTTGACAGAGAGAAGGCATGGCGAGGTGTGGTTTGGGGGCTGGGCAGGAGCTGCGCTCTGGGCATCGGTCGTGGTGAGAACAGCATAACAGTGCAGCTTCTCCCCTGCTGGTTCCTTGCAGGGTGCGGTGTCTGGGTCTGTGCAGGCCACTGACCGGCTAATG